AAGGCTTTTTGGTGGTAGAATGGGAGGTCGAGGGGAAATCAGGGTTTGGGTATCCACTTGTTCAACGCTCCAGCTGTGAGAGAATTCAGTTGAGTATCCATTCAACTGTGGCTGCTCAACTCACCTGGGTGCTTAAGCCCTGAATTTTCACCTTACTCAAGGCTCTTTCCACATTGTTCTTATGTAGAAAAGTGTCAGCACTTTAGCGCCCAATTTTCCTGGGCTCTCTATAGAGGAATGTAATATATAATCTTATATCTTAGAAAATCTGAAAACATCACCAGCTTTGGAGTTGGAAGTGTCTTCAATGATGTATTTTCCTCTACTGTCACTGTTTTTCATGTCATTTCACCTTTTCCTGAAAGGTCCAGACAACATCTTGTGACTTTACAACTTAATGTTCCAATAGTTTAAGCCATGGTGGTTTTTTTATGACTAGTTTCCCTTGTAATTGGCCATCTGCTTTGAGTTTCCCATCTGTGGATTCAGCTAGCCATGGATCAAAAATATGTGGAAAAAACTCATGTGACCTGATAAGTACAAACTTTTTTCCTCTTATCAATATCTTCTAAACAAAAAATGTACATACCATTCACACTGGGTTAGGTGTTATAAATCACCTAGAAATGACTTAAAGTACATAGATATACAAATGCTAGAGCACTTTATACATGAGACTTGAGCACCCTCAGATTTGGTATCTGAGGAGTTCTGGAACCAGTCCTCCTAAAATACTGAGAGAGACTGCACAAAGACGCACGCAGTACAGGTTGGGGGAGGAAACCATGACTTTTCTTCTCCTGAAGCTTCCCTTTCATCTTCTGGGATCTTGTGCACCTGAATTATGGCCAGGTTACCATCTGAAGACTGTGGTTTCCACTCTAGACTTTTGGCCTCAGCAAATAATCTTTCTCTCTAGCCTTTCAATGATCATATTTGTCTCCCTTGTTATATCATTATGCATACCTCTGTTTGAGTCTGTCTAATGCCATTGCTCTTTCCCATTAAGAGTCAGATGTATCGCATCTTTATCTATTATGTACCAGTCTTTAATTTTCTTCCCTTTACCTTGCATGTACCCTGGCATCTGGCCTGCTCCTGGACGTTGCAATGCTTGGTGTTGGTTATCAAGGTGCCATTCTCTATTTATTATATTTGATAGCTTTGAACTTCATTCAGGTGACTACTGGTAGAAGAGAGTTATGGATATGGAAGTCACAGGAAATGATTCACTTGTGTCTAGGTTTGTCCTGCTGGGTCTCACAGAGACTCCGACCCTACGGCCCATGCTCTTTGTCATCTTCCTGCTTGCGTATGTTGCTACTCTTGGTGGCAACTTCAGCATCCTGGCTGCTATCCTTATTGAACCCAAACTCCACACCCCCATGTACTTCTTCCTGGGAAACTTGTCTATGCTGGATGTTGGATGCATCAGTGTCACTGTCCCTGCCATGTTGAAGCATTTCCTATCCCGTGACAGAAGCATCCCCTATAGGGCCTGCCTCTCACAGCTTTTCTTCTTCCACCTCCTTGCTGGAGCAGACTGCTTCCTGCTGACTGTCATGGCCTATGACCGCTATCTGGCCATCTGCCAACCCCTCACCTACAGCACCCGCATGAGCTGGGGGATCCAGAAGGCCTCAGTGGCCCTGTCATGTGTCTTTTCTTTCAGCAATGCATTGACCCAAACTGTTGCTTTGTCTACTCTTAAATTCTGTGGCCCCAACGTGATCAATCACTTCTACTGTGACCTCCCCCAGCTCTTCCAGCTCTCCTGCTCCAGCATCCAACTTAATGAGCAGCTGCTCTTTGTAGCAGCAGCCTTCATGGGTGTGGTTCCCTTGGTCCTCATCACAGTATCATATGCCCATGTGGTAGCTGCTGTACTGAGAATCCGCTCTGCTGAGGGCAGAAAGAAGGCCTTCTCCACGTGTAGCTCCCACCTCACTGTGGTGGGCATCTTCTATGGAACAGGTGTCTTCAGCTACATGAGACTAGGGTCAGTGGAGTCCTCAGATAAGGACAAGGGCATTGGCATCCTCAACACTGTCATCAGCCCTATGCTGAATCCACTCATCTACAGCCTCAGGAATCCTGATGTGCAGGGCGCCCTGCGGAGGGTACTCACAGGGTGGTAGTTCCCAAGTGATACTTCCTTCTTCTGGCCTTAACCAATGTTATGGATTCACTTATGGCTTCTAAATGGTATTGTGGCTTATGCAAGTAGAGTGTGTGTATGAAGAAATGGGGGTACAATCTGGATGAGGAAGGGAAGTACTGTACTGTAAAATGTTGACAACTATGAATTACATCATGATTGTCCTGTGCTGGGTACTAAGTGATTGGCTCTAGTAGTTAATTGAATTCTCTTAACCATAAGAGGTAGATACTGTTTGAAAATTGTAGATTAGGAAACTTAACCTTAGAGAGGAGAGGTTGAGTAAGTTGCTCAAAGTCACAGAGCAAATGAATGTCAGAACTAGGATATGAACCTACGGGCAAGTTTCCACCTGTAATTATGACCTCTTAGGTGCAATACGTCATTTTGAGAAGGAGGAGTATCTGAAAGTGAAGAGATGGAAATGAGCAATGAAGAGTAAAAAAGAAATATCAGTGTGACAAGGAAAACTTTCAATAAACAAAAATATGAGCTAAGAAGTTTTTATTTCTCTACCAACATTTTTCCCCAAAGAAAAATGCATATTGAAAGAATATTTAGATAACAATTGTGTGAAATAAACAAATAGAAAATAGATTTGAAAATTTAATTCTGAGGGAACAGACAACATTTAGAAAAATAATATAGAGAAGGTAGAGTGCTTTCTAATTGGACCTCCTTCAACAACAGAAAATGAATGCAACAGGGTTGTTGAAGCATCCTATAAAAGTAGATTGTTTGAATCAACCAAGATCCACTAATAATAGGTTATTAGTTAGAGAAAACCTCCTTGACTGAATGGAAATTTTGTTACCTATGACTTGAACATTAAATTGGCTGCTCCCTCCATATTGTCATGAGGAGGAAGATGCTTCAGTCTATGGTTTGAAATGGCTGTTTCCATAATGCAATAAAATGCGTATTTATTAACAATTTGGAGGGGCTGTGGTGATTGCTCAGTGGATAAAGCACTGCTATGCAAGTGTGAGAGCTGGAGTTCAGATCCTTAGAACTCACATAAAAAGCCAGGTAGGTATGGTGGCCACTTAGCAGAGAAACAAGAAATCCTCAGAGCAAGCTTCAGTGAGCTTCTGATTTCATGAGAGATCGTACCTCAGAAAATGAAAAGGGTAATTGGAGAAGACATTTAGTGTTAACTTCTGACTTCTATATACATGTGAGCACCCATGCACATGCACCTGCCTACATACATGTGAACATGCACACACACACGGATATACAATAAATAAATAAATAAATAAATAAGAAAATACAGGCAGAATAAAATAAAAGTCACCATTAGGCTGCCAGATGATCACTATGGATATTTAGTATATAATTATTAAAATATACTATGGATATTTAGCATATAATTATTAAAATACCCTTATTTATTTTCATAAAAATTAGAATTGTTTTATACCCAAAGCTCTATAACCTTAATAATGTAGGTGAACTTAATAACATAAGTGGGTATCTTCCTATACTATTAAATATA